CCCAGGAACCTCAGGTGAGTGCGACCCCTGTCTCTGGATCTCACCTGCTTTTGCTCATTCCTCTGCAGACCTTTCTTTTAGGTTTGTCTGTCTTTCCCTCTAATTTTCTGTCTCCATTTATCTTCCTTTCTTTTTACCTCTCTCATTCTCTTCCCCTCTGTCTCTCGCTCATCTTTCTCTTTCTTTTTTTCCATCACTGTCCCCTTCTCCTTCCCTGTCTTTGTCAGTCTGTTCCTCATTCCTTCTTGTCAGTCTCTCTGTCCCTGTCACTCCTTCCAGGCTCCACATAGATGTCTCAGAGTCTCCTGAGAAGTGTTGCTAAGAGTGGTGATGAAGGCCTGGTATAAATGAGGTGGACATGCTGAAAAAGGGCCTGCCACCTACACACCACATTATCAAGAATCTAAAATCACCAGAAGTGTCCTGGGGCTTCCCCAGAGCAGAACACAGCCCCTGCCTCTTTGCTTGCTGGCACATCACCCAAGGAAAGAAAAACACAGTTCATTATTTTCTATATCTGCCAATCTGTTGTTTCTCTTTCCTTTCTTTTATATGTCCTAATTTTGACTTTGACACATGGATCAATCCATAAATTGATTTCCCTGAACACAAGTGAATGGCAAGCTAATCACTCAGTCTGTCTTGGATGCTAAAAACTTCACATCTCTTTCCCTAACTTTCTTGGTTTCTCATTTCCCATGTCCATCTCCATTCCCATCTCTCTGTTTCTTTATGTCTGTCTCTGCCCTTCTTTCTCTGCCCATGTGTACCTCTCTGTCTTTCTGTTGCTGTGCACCCCACATCCCTCTCTGTTTCACTGTCTTTCTTTCCTGTGCATCCCTGGGCCTCACCCTTGGATTTCCTCAGCTCCTCCACCAAACACTGAGCCTCCTCCTGAATCCGTTCCTCAATGCTCCGCTTTCCCATCCCGAAGTCTCTCATGGTGGCCAGAGAGAATCTCCGAAGGGTTTTCCAACGTTCTCCATTGGCAAAGGTCACACCTGGAGATGTAGGAGAGGTGGGTTGCAGAGGAAGTTGGAAGGAGTCTGGCTGTCCCCACCCCTTTCCTCCCTTCTCGACTCCCCTTTCCCAGGTCCCATCTTCCATCCCACCCCATCCCAGGGACTTCTAGGTCCTCACCGTATCCCTGGAAAATTGGCTCAGTGATGGCCAGTGTTCCCCGACCAGAGAAATCCTCAGCTTAGTCCACCAGGGCCTCCCGTATGGCCTCTGTCCCACACAGCATGACCACTGGCTTTGGTCCCAGGTACACGGTGAACACATCGCCATATTTCTCTCGAAGCTGCCAAGCACATCCACACCAGGGTTGATGTTAGTCCGTGCACACCTCCGTTGTTAACCATGAAATGCTTAGATGCAGATTGGTCCAGAGGTGTCTCCCACAAGACCCTCCTCCCTCAGCTTCCAGCCCCCTTCCCAGGACCCAGCCACTAAGGGGTCAATGCACAGTCTGGGCAGGTCCACTCTGATTGGCTGGGCCCTAAGCATCCACATGCTTCAGTATTTCTAATGCCATCCTGCCTGTGCCCCTGAGTCTGGCCACATCTCCTGCACCTCTCAAAGAATCTCCTGTAACCCAACTGCTTTCTGCCTCCTGACCATTTCCTAAGAGGATGACTCTGACGCACCCACTTGGCAGACGTGAAGGGACAGTGATGGCCTCCTAGCCGTGCTCCTGAAATGGTAAAAGCCATCGTATCAGCCACTTGGGAAACTGCTGGGCAGTACAGTCACTTCTTGGCATCCACAGGAACTGGCCCCAGGACGTCCCTGGAATACCAAAACCCCTCGAATGCTAAAGTTAAGTACTTAAAATGGTGTAGTATTTGCATATAATAAATGTTCATCCTTCGATGTACTTTAAATCATCTCTAGATTTCTGATAAACCTGGAGGAATGTAAATACTATGTAAATAGTTTTTGTACTATATTGTTTAAAGAAAAGTGTAAAGAAAACCCTATTATATGTTCAATAACTTTTTTCTACACAATTTTCTTTTTTTAATACCTTTATTTTGTTTATTTTGAGGTGCTGAGGATTGAACCCAGTGCCGCACACACGTGAGGCGAGTGCTCTACCACTGAGCCACAACCCCAGCCCCTTCTACACAATTTTCAACCCATAACTGGTTGAATTTATAAATATAGAACCCACAGCTATGGAGGCAAATGTCTTTGTTGAAGCCAAACATGCACATTCTTAGCAACTTTAACCTCAAATTCCTGCCCCATAACAAGTCTACATGTCTTCACCAGAAAGTCAATCTGGTCAGGTACGGTGGCACCCACCTGTAATCCCAGAAGCCTAGGAGGCTGAGGCAGGAGGTTTATGAGTTCAAAGCGAGCCTCGGCAATTTAGTGAGGCCCTAAGCAACTTAGCGAGACCATCTCTCCTAATAAAATATAAAAAGGCTGAGTGCCCCTGGGTTCAATCCCCAGTATCCCCCTAAAAAAAAAAATCAATCTGAACCTTCATAGGTGGCTTTTCATTAATAAATACATGGTGACAGAGGCTTAGCAATGGAATATTATGGAGCCAAGAGAAAGAACAAAATATATAGCTACAACCAACGACTGGTGAAACTCACAGAAAGAATGCTGAGGGACAGACATTAGACACAAAAGCACATTTTGTTTACATTCACTTCTATTTACGTGAAGTTCAAATGTAGAAAACCAGGCCCTCATGGTCTCCAGATAGTGGGAGGATAGTCACAAGAAAGGGACCAAGAGAGGTGTCCTGGGGGCCAGCCCTGTTGCTATGTAATCTGCATGTCAGTGACATGAGTGCGTTCAACTGATTAAAACTCATTGCGCTGTGCACATCGTGTCTGTTGTGGGTAGGGGGCGATATTGGGGGTGAAATCCAGGGCCTTACACATGCAAAGCAAGCGCTCTACCATTGAGCTACATCCCCAGATGTAGCTGTGCATTGACCCCTTAGTGGCTGGGTCCTGGGAAGGGGGCTGGCAGCTAAGGGAGGAGAGTCTTGTGGGAAACACCTTTTTAGTCTCACTACATTAACAAAGTTGGCCTAGAACTTTCAATCCTCCTGCTTCAGCCTCCTGAGGAGCTTGGAACTGCAGGTGTGCACCTCTGCACCCGGCAAGCTGTGCACATGTTATAATGATGTTCAACTTCAATAACAACTTGAGTCAGAAATCATAAAAATGGTTGAGGTTACATGAAGATGTCTTGCACTGGTCTCTGCAAAGCCTCCTCACTGGCTTCTTGAACCCATTCTTACACCCCTGAAAATGGATCCACAGCTCTCCAAATCAGAGCAAGCCTACCAAGGGTCAGTTGATTAGGATCCCAACTCTCTCCAAGTCCTCCAATGTCCCCATGTCATTGAGAATGACACCACAGTCTCCATCCTGGTCTACCCAGCTGCAAACATTGTGGTCTCTCGCTTCTCTGACTTCTTCCCCTCACCCCTTGCTTGCTCTGATCAACCTCTGTGCTGTCCCCTGAGCTGGTTCCTGTTCAGGTTCTTTGGACACCACTGCTCCCCCTGGTGCCATTCCTCTGCTTCTTTCAGGGTCTGTACCAGAAACAAAGCAGGACCATGTGTATTCCTGGCCATGTGATCTAAAATATCTCCCAGCACTTTCTAAAATATCACACTGCTTTTTGTCAATCATAGCTCAGCTACATCACAAGGCCTTATATGTTTTTGTTTTGGT